ATCCCCGGGGACCAAAATGCGTCCCAGCACCGTAAGACTGGACAGCTAGGCTCACAGGGGCTGAAGACGCCCCGTCGAGGGCCTCTTGGCCCCTGTTCGGTAGGAGCGAGGCTCAGCAATGGGACGCCAAGGCAGGGCGGGGGGAGGGGAAGAGGCGTCCTCACCGGAGCGGGGAAGCCGGGCGGACGGGCCCGAGGGCGGGCGTCTCCGCCTCAGGCTTCCCGGCTCATCTTTCCGGCGCCGGCGGCGGCCCCGCCACTCCTGCTGTCCTTAGGCGCAGCCGTCTCAATTCAGGATTACAGGGTTTCTGGGCCGCGCACCGCGCGACCCCGCCGCGACCGCCTCTTGCTCGGCTTCAGCCTCTACCTCCTTCACCACCACCACCACCACAACCACCACCTCCTCCCCCCCTCTCCTCCTCCTTCCCCTCCCGCGAGCCCCAGGCCCACCGGCGCTGGCGGCGCACAATTAGTACGTCACACCCGGCGAACGGCGCCGGCGCGGCCACCACGCGCCCAGTCCCGCCTCCACGCGCCCAGTCCCGCCTACCGGAGAACGTAGACGCCACGGGAGCGTCCCGCCTCCGAGCTCTACGCCAGGCTGCGCCTGCGCACACCTCCCTACCTGGCCGCGCGTGCCGGCCCCACAGCTCCGCTGTTTGCGCCTGCGTGTTGTGTCTCGATTCACGCCCTTTTGCGTTCGGTGCTCGTGGGCCTCAGCCTGGGGGACCCTAGACCCTTGTCCAGTGGGGCGCGTCAGGGCAGAGGCAGCAGGGAAGGGAGGTCCTGACACAGGGAGCGTCTTGAGGCGAAATACTAGGGGACTTAATTCTTTTATTTTACTTTAGCGATTGTCGAGCAAAAAGAGCTCAAAAGAATGAGGTGAACACCAGCCAGTGCGTACGACACATCCAAGGATCATCTGACCACCAGTCTAGCCTGCCACGCTAGGGGAATGGAGAGTATTAAAGGAATAACTTGGGACCCGATTGGGCTCGGTGGCGCACGCCTGTAGTCCTAGCGGCTGGAGAGGCTGAGGCAGGAGCTCGCAAGTTCGAGGTTAGCCTTAGCAAGTTAGGGAGGCCCTAGCCACTTAGCAATACTCTTGTCTTTCAAAATGGAAATGAGCTGGGCATGTCGCTCAGTGGTAAAGCGCCTCTGGGTTCAGTCCCCAGTACCAAACAAAAAACTTGGGACCCTAAGAGTAATGTGGTCGCAAAAGGACCTTCGTCATCGGGCACGCCCTACAGACGGACGCATAATAGATACATCTCTGGAAATAGTGACGGAATATGGGGCCCAATAGATACAGTTTCTTCAGAGGGTACCTGAAGAGGGGTGTGGCATTAGGAACTGAGATTTTTCCCTAGATGAGAGAGGCTTAGTGGACTGTGCCAGCAGGCGGAATGATTCCCTCAAACTACCGCTAGATGGTAGTGCTGTTCTGGATGCATTCCAGAGGACCCACAGCACGTCTGGACAATGCCTGGCATCCACCTCCCAACCCCCCTACACACACACACACACACACACACACAAGAATTTGGGGCGGATGGGAGATGAAAGCAAGATATTCTGCCTCTTTAATATCCGTTAAGTCAAAATCTAGGATTGGGAGTGAAGAATGAGTGGACTGAGTGATGAAGTCAGACCCAAGTAGAGGCTTCTGTTTCTGCCCATTCCCCATCTTTTGTCTAACCAGCTCTTGGCTGTCTCCAATGTGTACCCCCACTGGTCTTCCCATTTCAGAAGCACCTTTTGTAACAATCATAGTTTCACAAACCCTAGGAAGGTTCCATGTGGAGAGAGACTAAGTTTCGCCTTTGCCCGGGGAATTAGGACACTGAGAATATCCCCTTGGTGTAAATGGAAGACACCTGAGAAAAGGAGAAAACAGATGCTCAATGAAGCACAGCCATCCACATACTCTGATGTTTCACCCTGCCTTCTCCAGCTCCACCTTTTCTGTGCTCTCTCTAAGGACCTAGGCATTCTGTCCTTCATTCCTCAAATCTACCTCTACACCCAGGCTTCCACCGTCTAGTTCAGCCATGTCCTCTGCTCACATCCGACTTCCACTGCTTATATGATTCTCACCTGCACTATAGCAGCTATTGTAGGCCCGGTCAGGGTCCGAAGGCATACTGCATATACATCGGAATAGAATTTCCTGTCTTCCCTGGCCCTCCCGAGACACCACCTGACCCATGGTGAAAGTCACATCATGAAACAGGACCTGGCAGGGAAAAGAGAAGATGTTGAAGAAAACCAGGATGGTATGACCATTCTGAGACAGCTTTGGAGCCCTCACAGGAGCTAGGAAATGAATAAAGGCCTCCCAAGTTTGGTATGAACAGAGGGATCAGGAACCCTCAGTATGGGGCATACAGGCTCTGGGAGAAGAGTAAAGAGATAGCCTCCAGGCCCCCATGTGGAGTTCAGGGTATGCCTGGAGTTACCTGGCTATACAGCAGATAAACTCCAGYGTCCCAGACTCGGACAACGTATCCTTGGGCCTCCAGGCCTCTCCCACGCCTAAGGGCTGGTTGCCACATCACCTCTGTCACATCAGAGTCCTCTGGAGGTGAGGAGTGTGGCTGTCAGGATTTCTTTACACCCTAGACATTTATCAACTCTCATCTTTTCACCTCTTAAGATTCTCTTGGGCCCAGATACCAGCCCCAAAATTCCTTGCTTGTGCCCCTCCCCAAAGTCATTATTTAAAATAATGCTCACCCTTGGAGGTGATGTTAATGGGAACAAGATGCAGAACTGAATGCCTCTCTGAGAAGAGAAGGAGGAAATCTCAGTTGGATTGTCTACCTCAGGTGCCCTGATGTCTGCCCTCCACCCTCACTTAGCTCAGGTTAAACATATATATATATATATATATATATATATATATATATATATATATATATATATATATATATCTCATTACAAGATCACCTCCCACCCCTGCTGTGCCCAGGGCTCACTCTTCCGCTTCTGGGTAAGCACTGCTCTCCTTCTCCGAGATCTCTCCCCACTGGCCCAGGCTTCCAGGGCTTCAGGGCTCTGCTTATAGAAAGAGGGTCAAGGTAAGACTAAGATGCAAGGACCCCAGACGGCCTTCCTTCTCAGTTTTCCTCCAAACTAGGAATGCTTCAAATCCCTCATGCACCTTTCCCCAGCACCCTGCGTCTTGGTGCTGGCTGCCCTCCAGGATCTGTTAGGTACAAGAAGCATTAATCTTTAACAGTTTCTTTTTCTGGAATGGCCGCTCCCTTGACTTCCAAACCTGGGACCCTCTCTTACACCTATTTGAAACTTTGCAGACCATAGCTCAGAGACCTAGAGACCCCCTGACACCCATTCTTCTCTCCCGGACTCTCATTTCCCCTCACTCACCTGCTCTCGGATGTTGTGCCAGGGATACCCTTCTTCCTTCTGTGAGGGACCTCCGTTTCTCTGTAGCCGGCTCACCTCCCTCCTTAGGCTTTGCAGCTCTGTTTGTTGGGTCAGCAGAGCAATGGCACAAGCCACAGCCCCCAGAGCTGCCCCCCAACTCAACCAGAGTGCAACCGAGAGTGCCGGCTCTCGGACTGGGCCCCCCATGTCGCCCGAGGGCCCTTTGGGGGCTAGCAAGAAAGGAGACGAGGCTGGCATGAGCCCAGGACCCTGCTAACAGCTGTGCCTTCAGGAATGGAGGGGCAAGGAGGTGGCGGGGAGGGTGGGGGCACAGGCAGTGGTGCAGAAGGGAAGAGGGTGTTACGCAAGGGAGAAATAAAAAGGAACTTGAGAATAAAAAGGAGGGAGGAGGAAAGCAAGCTAGGGGTACTCTAGGTGCTCCTGGCACCCCTCTCTAGGGCTAGTGTCTTCTTGAGACCCTCCCCCCAGCCTCAGGAGAATTTGGTGCCAGTCTCTCTAGGAAGGACGGGGCTACCAGTGACACCCAGGAGGAGCGGCCAGAGCTCAGGAACCCAGGGGCGGCCCCAGTGTTGGGGGAGGGAAGGCTGGCTGGCCATGGGGCATGGTGCCAGGCGCAGGATGGGGGACAAGCTGGGCAGTGTTGAGGACCAGGGGATGAGGACAGAAGACCCTCTGGCTCAGGCATGGGAGAGACCACTGGAGAAGTTTGCTAGGGGCAACTGAAGGTGAGAAAAGGAGGTGGGAGTCGCTGGAGAAGAGAACCAGGAATAAGAAACTGGCTGGGTGCTGGGGTTAAGGCCGGGCCGGGTGTGTTGGAATAAGGCCTGCACTACTCCCTGTGCTGAACTTGGCAAGCAGGACTTCCTGTTTCCCAAGAAAAGCTCTTACATAAGGCTCTGGATAGAGACAAAGAAGCGGCCCTAAGCCCCCAGCCACTGCAGGACTCCTCCCCAGGACCCCCAGGAGCCCATGTTTTCTTGTGCCTGGTCCCCGGCATCCCATCTATGGATTCAGAGACCCCTCCAAGCCAGCTCCCACCCCATCTCCCAGCCAGGGCATGTGCCAGCACCTGCTGTATGTCCCAAGGCCGCCAAGAGGAAGGGCCCCTGCTCCTCCCTGCCAGGGATTCCCCCGCAGGAGGAAGTCCGCCTCCTAGGGAAATGAGGCTGCTTCTGCAATACCTGAGCGGAGGACAGGTTTTTTTCTTGAGCAGTGCACATTTCTGCTTTCTTCTGACAACTGTGGGCTGGAGGAATGCAGGTCCCTGCTCCCCAGTGCTCAGACTCCCTCCCCATGACTCTCCACTACCGTGGGTCCCAGTAAAGAGAGAGACCATGACTTGTTCTCTTTAATATCCACTTATCAATATTTTGTTACAATAATAATAAAAATAATATCTGTTTTCAAAATCCACAGGGAATTATCAAGGGAGGAGTTTGTCTTGGGCTCTTACCCCTCACATTTGGGAACTCCTGGCCTAATCCCAGGTTTTTTTGCTTCCTGCCACCAGGTCCAGCCCCTTTTAGTGCCTAAAAGCAGGGTCTTCTGGACCCCTCCTTGCCCATCCTTGCCAGAAAACACAGTATCCTGGGGGGGCTGTGGCTGGGGGGGGGAATCAAGGGATGAATGGGAGTGTGAAAAGATAAGGGCTTTGGGAGCTAGTGAGGTGAAGAGCGGGGAGGTGTGTTGTAAGAGAGGAATGGGAATGTTTATGAGGGATAAAGTGAATAAGCCCTGGCAGCCTATGGAGGGAAAGGCAGGTCTGGAGCTTAGGTASGGCAGAAGGGACTGGGCACTGAGAGAGCTGCATGGGAGCTGGCAGCTGGAAAATTTGCAGGGCCCCTCAGTGAACCTGGAAGAGTCCAAAGTAGGTGAGGAAGGGGGCAGCCTTGAGATGGGCCCAGGGTAGGGTGCGGATCCGCAGGGAAGACCCTGACCGCAGGGGCAATAGCCCAGACACCTGGCAGAGATGAAGCTGGGGCCCAAGGGAACTCGTTGCTGTGGCAGAGAACTCCTCTAGGCAGCGCAGGGCCAGCACGTCATCCACCAGCAAGTCCAGCTTCAGGTAGACAGCCTTCCCCTCATCAAAGTGCACCTGGGGTGGGAGAGGGCAGGCAGAGTCTAGGCCTCTGCTTGCCCTCGCCTCAGTTTCAAATATCCTTAGAGACCCAAGTATCCCATTTTTCCAACCCCCCCCCCTCCCCAGCCTTGATCTTGACCTTTTTGTTCCCCCGAAAACCAAGCCCTTCTCCCCTCAGTTTCTCCTTTACCCATGTAGCCAGGTGGGTCTTACCTGACAGTATAGGTAGTAGAGCCCAGCCCTGGTGACTCTAAATTCCCCAATCTGACGGTCATAGCGCAGAGGGTTGGAGCTGTTGATTTTGGCTTCCTCCCAGCCACTCACTGTCCCATCCACACCTGAACATGGATGTTCAGAGATAAGGAAAAGTCCCTTTACAGGACTCCCACACATTCCCCAAGGATCCATTAAGCTAATAAACATTTGGGTCCCACCTTAATCCAGAAGAGAGATCAACTGCCCAAGGTATGGGAGGAGCCATGACCTATGCAGCCCAAAGTAAAATTGGACATTGTGTGAAGAAATCTAACATATATGACCAGGAAAATTCAGGACAAAATTGCCACCCGATTGTTTCTGGGGAGCAGAGTAGGATTTAAGGAAAAATGAGGGCTTTTGCATTTTCTTTACCTGTGTCTACATTGTTTGCCTCTTTTATGTTGAATATGTGTACATACATTACTTGAATCATTAAAATTAAAAAGAAAAAATGGCATCCCAATGTTCATAACCTGTATGAATAAAATGTGGTTTATTCATACAATGGAATATTATTCAACCATAAAAGGAATAAAATATTGGTGTATGCTATCATGTGGCTGAACATTGAAAACATTATGCTAAGTGAAAGAAGCCAGTCCCAAAAGGACCACATATTTTATGATCCCATTTATAGGAAGTGTCCATAACAGACGAATCTAGAGAGATAGAAAGTCGATTATTGGTTGCTTAAGGCTAGGGAATGATAATAGGAGGTAATGTCTAAGGGGCCTCTTGTGGAGGTGAACAAAATATCCTAAAATCACTGTGATGATTGATGGTTGCACAATTCTGTGAATATACTAAAAAACTATTGGGTTGGGTTAGGGGTGTAGCTAAGTGGATACAGTTCTTTCCTAGCATGGGTTTTTGATTCTGTCCCCAGTACCAAAAACAAAAACAAACAGAAAAAAAAAAAAAACAAACATTAGGTTATACATTTTAAATGGGTGAATTATATGAGATATGCATTATATCTCAAAAAATCTATTATTAAAAAACAAACTCTATTGGGAGGCTGAGGCAAGACGATTACAAGTTCAAAGCCAGCCTCAGCAATGGCAAGGTGCTAGCAACTCAGTGAGATCCTGTCTCTAAATAAAATAGAAAATAGGGCTGGGGAGGTGACTCAGTGGTGGGGTGTCCCTGAGTTCAATCCCTGTACCAAAAAACCCACCAAAACTCTAGAGGGTTTAGGGATATAGTTCAGTCACAGGGTACTTGCCTAGAATGGGCAAGGCCCTGAGTATCATCTCCAGCACCACAGAAACAAACAAAGGAAAAAAAGAAACCCCTAGGGTTAGGGTAATTGCAAATTGCTAAAGAAATAATAATGGAGTGTCAGGTGGTTTCCAAGTCACCAACCCAGCCCAAGCTTGCTGTTTCCCCAATCTAATCTCACACTCCTCTCTAATCACTCCCTCCCACCATCTGGCCTTCATCCTGTTCCTTCCAGGCACCAAGCTCATTCTCCCTCCCTGCAGGGCTTCTTCCCTCTTCCCAGGATTCTTCCCTGGCTGGCACATCTGCCTTCTGGGTCAGCCAGTTTTTAAAAATCAGCCCTGCTGGGTATGGTGATGCACACCTGCAACCCCAGCAAATTGGGAGGCTAAGGCAGAAGGATCACATATTCAAGGCCAACCTCAGCAACTTCACAAGGCCCTAAGCAACTTAGTAAGACCCTGCCTCAAAAGGAAAATAAAAAGGGCTGGTGATGTAGCTCAGTGGTAAATGGCCTCTGGATTCAATCCCCAGTATCCAAAAAAAAAAAAAAAAAGTCAGCCCCATCCTTGCCTCCATTAATCTCTTCCCTCTTCTCTTTCTTTCCTAGCAGTCATCAACAAGAGAATATATCTCATTTATTCAATATTCATTCATGTGTTTGTTTGGAATCTGATTACCCCATGAGAGCAAGGGCGATTATCTTTTTTTTTTTTCTGCAATACTGGGGTGATAAAACCCAGGGCTACCCATAAATCAAATGCTCTAGAACTGAACTACATCTTTGACCCTTTCTTTTTCTTTCTTTTCTTTTTTTTAGTTGTAGATAGACACAATACCTCTATTTTATTTATTCATCTTTTATGTGATGCTGAGGACCAAACCCAGTGCCTAACACATGCTAGGTGAGCACTCCACTGACCACTGAGCCAGAGCCACAGCCCTTTCTGAAAATTTTGTTTGGAGGCAGGGATTCATTAAGTTATTGAGGTTGGCCTCTGGGGATTACAGGCATGCTCCATGGTGCCTGGCTTCACATTACCTTTCTTTCTTTTTAAAATATTTTTTAGTTATTGATGTATCTTTATTTTTTATTTATTTACATGTGGTGCTGAGGATCAAACCTAGTGCCTCATACATGCTAAGGCAAGTGCTCTACCACCGAGCCACAACCCCAGTCCCTTCATATTACCTTTCTTTCTTTTTTTAAACATGGAGGGTATTTTTTTTTAACCTTCAACAATGAACAAAAAATAAAATTCACTCACTCTGTGCTGTTTCAAAATTTCAATGTTAGTTTTGTATGCCTTTCCCCCCACCAGCCCTGTTTGTAAGAAACTAAAACATTATACCTGGTGAACAGCAAAGATTCACTACGCCTCAAATGCAGAACACTATGAAGCAGAGGAATGTTGCTTATACAGAAGCAGATAAAAAAAAAAAAAAAAAAAAAAAAAAAGATGCAGGACCCTTCAGTTCTTCACTATTCTTAGAAAAACTTTCCAGAATACTGCTTCACGCAAATTCACCATTAGTTTTCGTGTTGGGAAAGGTTTCCTTTGGCTGTTCAGCTTCCATTTTCTTGTATTAAATGGACAATTGAGTGAATTTGCCATCCCCTCATGGACATGAGGCCTTAGCTGATCACAGCACAACTCTCCGCCTTTTTGCACCCTCCCACTTCACATTACTTTCAATGGCCTACCTGAAAATAACTTCCAAACTCCTTTGTGACCCGGCTTCGTCTTCCTCAGCCTCATAACCCACCCTGTTCTCTAGCACTTTCTGCTTCAGCCACACTGAACTTCTCACAGCCCCCAGCCTGTCAGACCCTTGGCAAACTCCAGGCTTTCACATGGTGATTCCTTTACCTGCCCCACCCTGATCCCTTGGCCACCTTACACTCAAAGCCCAGTGATGCCTCACTGTCATAGGGAAGGAGTCCCTGGGTCCATTCTGAAGTTGTTTTGTCTTCCTCTATCCTGCCATGGATCTTTGTCTACTCTGAGTGTTGTCCTTGTCACATGGACAAATATGTAATTACATATTTATATTCTGTCTCCTGTCCTAGACAGTGACTTCTTGAGCACAGATGTGGGTGTGATTGGCTAGGGTCACCTAGGCTGGTCCCTAGAAAATAGCAGGTTCTTAGTGCGTGTGTGTTCAGTCAATGAATGAATGGATGTCTTGGGTAACTGCCAAAATAAGTGAACTATACTGAGAGGTGGAGGGCTGGCTGGGCCATGAAGAAGAGGGAGGGGAGAAAAGGAGGGATGGAATCCCAGCTATGGAACCAGCTTGAGCAAAGGCTGGTTGTAACCAAAGGGCAGAGTGTGCTTGAAACTATGGTCACACAAAAACTTCAAATGGATATTCTGTGCTGCCTGGCCACCCACTTGCCCCCACCAAGCAGGCTTTCATTTTCCCAAAGACAATGATTTGATATACCGTCTCTCCTCAAACCCCCTGTCCCTATCTCCCTAGTTCTCTGGAGGACCTAGAAGTCCTCAGACAAGGGCTCTCTCACCCCCCATACCAACAAAATCTATAAACCTACCTGTTCTCTCAGACTCCTTAGACCCCCTTGTGATGCTGGAAGATGTGTCCTCTCTTCCTGATGGAAACCATACCCTCCCAATGTCTCTTGGACATTGCCCCTGCAGGATCCCCAACCCCACCCCAGCAAGTGTACCTCTCATATGGACCATGTCCAGCTTATGAGCACACTCTAGCTGGCTTCACAGCCTGCTTCTTCCTAATATCATTGTGACCTTGGACAAGCTGTATAATCTCCATCTTTAAACAGAAGTTACCAGAACATCCTTCTTTTAGAGCTATTATTGAAGATCAGACAGAATCAAATACATGAGAGCTAGTCATAGTCCAAAACGCACTCAAGAGGAATATAGTATTGCTTAAAAGGACTAAATTTTTCTGATGCACACTTCCCTGCACCTAGTGGTTCATTTCTCTACTCTTTGTCCTAGAGAAACTTCTAAAAAGGATTGCCACTATCTCTATTTTTTTTTTCTTGACTCAACCCATATGGGCCTCTATTCTAATTCCACCACCAAAACCTCCGTCATCAAGGTCACCAGTCGTCTTTAATGTTACCAAACCCAGCAGTCATTCCTCTGTTCTCATCTCATGTGATGCATCAGCTGCTTCTGTACAGCCGGCCACATCCTCCTTCTTAAATCAGAGTCTTCTCTTAGATTACAGGACACCACCCTCCCTGAGTTTCTTCCTCTAAGTCTGCTTCTCAATCTCAGCCCAGCTTCCCTCCTTCGCCCTATGTCCAGATGGCCTGGGGCCTTAGGGCTTCTTTCTTTCCCTGGGTGTCTTATTCAGTACTGTAGCTTTAAATACCATCCATATGGTCATTACCTTTTTTTTTTTTTTTTTTTTTTAATCCAGGGGCACTTTACCACTGAGTTATATTCCCAGCCCTTTTGACTTTTTATTTTGAAGCAGGGTCTCACTAAATTGCTGAGACTAACCTCAAATTTACAATCCTCCTGTCTCAGCCTCTTGAATCACTGGGATGGTGGGTATATACTCAACTCCCATGAGACCCACAAACAATCCCTCCTTGTATCTTCAAGCCACATACTTCTGTCTTTAGAGTTCCTCACCTAGCCTGARCTAGTCTACTATGTCCAGCCATCTATTTGTGAAATTCCCTTTAGTATTGCCTATCCACTTGTTTATTATTAAGCACCTCAGTTAATTTTTAAACAGAGGTTACCAGAACATCCTTTGAGGGCTATTATGAAGATCAGACAGAATGTACACATTCCAACTTACTTCGTCCCTGGTAACTTATTTCTTGTAAACTCTGTCTTACAAGTGGCTTTTTCATTTCTAGAGATATCCAAGTTACAAATCGAGAAATCAAAAGTTGAGTGCACTGGTGCACACTTGTAATCCCAGCTATCTGGGAGGCCGAGACAGGAAGATTGCGAATTCAAGGACCACTTGGGCAACTAAGCAAGACTCTGTCTCAAAATTTTAAAAAACTATAAAAGGGCTGGGGATGTAGTTTAATAATAGAGCATCCCTACATTCAATCCCTAGTACTTGGGAAAAAAAAATTTTTTTTTGATTGTGAAAATAATATTTGGTCAGGGTTATGGATTCATTAGTATGGAGGGATAAGAGAACATAAAAACCTTTCTCCTCTCTACCCCATGCCCATCCCTCAAAAATAACCATTGCAGAACTGAGAATGTAGCTTAGAGGTAGTGGCTTTGCCTAGCAGGCATGAGGCCCTGGGTTCCATTCCCAGAACCACAAAATATATTTTAAAATATATTTGTCATTCGTGGTTCCTCAGTTTCTCTTATTCTTTGTATCAGACCTACAAACAATCCCTCCTTGTATCTTCAAACCACATGCTGAATCCATCTACTTCTCTCCATCTCTGCTGCAAACACCCTGGACTGGACCTGTCCTCATGTTGTGACTCCTGGCCTTCCCAATGGAGGGACATTTCAGGTGAGAGAACAGCATGTACAAAGTCCAGAAGAGGGTACACTGGAATGCAGACATATCTGCTCACTACAAGCATGGCGAATGCATAGGGAGTGCTCAGAAATAAGGTTGAGACCAGGCCATTAAGAGGCAGGCCAGAAGCCAAGCAGAGAAGTGATGGAATAATGAAATGGAAGTTTCAGGGGACTTAGCTTGGAAGGGTACATGGGGCAGAATGGAGGGATGGGAGGGTGAGGAAGGGAGAAGGAGCCAGAAGCGGGTTTGAGGTTCTGAGGTTGTAGTGCTGAGGTGGGAGGTGGGGAAGGGATGGGGAAAAAGAGCAGAGAATAGAAACATTTAGAGGAACAATGATCAGGGCATGAAAACCCCTGGGATACAGGGGATTGGGGGACAAATGAATCCCAGGTATTTGAAAACTGAGGGCTGATAGAGAAAGCTGGGGCCACTGAGGAGGTAGAATAGCCAGCCTGGATTAAGGAGAAGGCAAGGGTCTTCCCAGGTTCCCAGGCATGGGTCATAAAGAGAGCCAAACCCTGAGAACTTTGATGAACCGGTTCCTCAGATTCTTTGGCTGAAGGAAGGGCAGGGGTTGAGAAATCAATCAAAGGATCTGAGGGATCCCTTTCCCAGGAGGCTAGTGCTATAGGATGAAAGAGGAGATCTCAAGAGATGGGGATGGGGGTCTCACCCGCCTGTGCTCCATCCTGTCCCGGCTGTGGGTGAACTGTAAGACACAGAAGGGGTTATTGAGACCTGCCCTGCCCCTCTGTCACCCTTTCTTCCAAGTATGACTCACCCATCACCCACCTTCATAGTGGGCTGCAATTGCTTTGCGAGTCCGTGCTTTCCGGCCTTTAGGTGCTGAGAATCAAGGAAAGACAGATGAGCAGAGTAGATCCCTCTGGAGGCCCAGGAGCCGCTCGCTTAGCAGCCCTGCTCTCCTCTCAGGACCCTGGCGTCCTTGGTCTTGTCTAGTCTCCTGTCCTCAGAACCTCAGGCCTCATCTTCTTCCATAAATAGAGTGATTATATAATTATCATCCAAATCAGGTTGCTTCTGAGAGCAAAAGGGGGTGCTATTAATAATCACAATGGCTGGAGGTGWAGCTCTGGAGTAGAGTATTCGCCTAACATACGCAAGGCCCTGGGTTCTATCTCTTATAGTGCAGCAGGGGAAATAACATTGAGATAACAGGTGTAACCCATGGGAACCTGGATCCATGGTCATGTGGACATCCCATTCATAAGTGTCTTTGCTAATTGGGTCCCAGGCCTCTGACTCTCCCACCTGGTCCTCATCATGACTCCAGGGATCCTCCTAACTCCTGACTATCCCCTCTTCATATCTGGGGTAGAGTTAATGAAAAGCAGGTCTATGTGACAAAAGGAGCCTCAGAGCAAAGGTTATAATTCCTAAGTTTGAGCCTCAACTGTTTAGCTGTGTGACTCAGAACATCCCCCTTCACTCTTTGTGCCTCAGTTTCTCTTGAAGGATAATGATTTCTGCTCTGCCCACTTCACAGGGCTGTTACGATGAACAAAATTAATAATGAATTCAGAAGCCACCTTAAACTGGCCACTCTTGTCATTCTTAGAGGGATGCTCACCATTTCTGCGAGGCCGGACTAGTTGTTTCAGGAAAGGCACAACACCCTGGCTTTCCTCAGTCTGGGGGTTCAGTTCCTAGGAGAATTAAGGGCAGGCATCAACTAGGACCTCCCAAAGATATAGGCAAAGATGATCAGAGCCTGTCAGAAGAGCAACCAGCCAGCAATGGACACAGAAGTCTTAGGGACTGATGAAGCGTGGGGTCAGACCCTTTCAGGAGACCAGCCACACCTTCCTGCCCTCACATCCCCTCCACAGCACAGCCCCTGCACTCCAGTGATACACTATACAAATGCCCACACTCAGTCAGTGTGCCTAGGCAATACACACTGCACATAACAGCATCCATGTCCCATGGCAAAATGGTATATCTCATAACCTCACTTCACCTACAGCCAATAAACACTTGCATTCAGTTGGCAACTGGGGCACAAACTTCTTATACATGGTGGTCACCCCCTCTCACACACAGATATACCCACTTATACTGCTGCACCCCCCTCCACACACACACACAGACTCACACCCATGCATGTGAGTCTTCATGCACACATACTGGGCACACACCTCACTCACAGCTGGCACAGCTGCAGCCTCAGCTCTGACATGCTTCCCCTGCCTTGCAGCCCACACACAGTGCCCACACCTACTCACCAGCAGCTCCTGGTCCTCCTCTGCCAACAGCTCCCCCTGGGAAGGCTCCTGCTGGGAAGGAGGCAGCCATCACCCTGTTCTTCTTCACCTGACATCTCGCCCTCCACCCATCCTCAGGTCCCCTGGCCCTCTGCCCACCCGACCCCCATAGGCTCTTCTGCAGTCTCTGCTCCTAATGTGCCCAGGGAAGGGGTGTGCTGCCAGGCCTCACCTGGGCAGACAGCGATGCCCGGCTCCCCAGGCTGACCACGGCCAGCAGGAGGCCAAGGCAAGCCAGCGCCAGGCCCAGGCCCAGCACAAACGGGGCCAGCAGGGCGGTGCCCGGCTCCCCCTGGCGCCCCCTCCGCCTCTGGCTCCGACGGGCGGCCATGGGGGCGGGGGGCTGTGCCTGCCTCACCGCCCCCCCATCCCGGGACCCGAGGGATCGAGGGAGGGGGAGCGGGCGGGCGGATCGGGCCGGGGAGAGGGAGGGGCAAGGGAAACGGGGAGGGAGGGGTGTGATGAGGACAGGAAGCCGGACACTGTTTGTGTGTGATTAAACTCCGAGCTTCCCAGCTGAGCACCGTGCACGCAGCAAGTGTGCTCCTAGCAAGTGTGCGCCCCAGCGATTTCAGCGCACGGAGTACAGCACCGGGCCAGAGGCACGCAGCACCAGGGCGTGTACACGCGGGTGGAGGTTTGTGTGCGTGCGAGGGCGACCGCAATGGGACTGTGCATCTTATGACACTTGAGGCAGAGGCCGATGAGAGGGAGTGAAAGCAGAAATAGCCAGGAACCCCACCCAGGCCTGTGTGCATTGTGATGGGGCCGGGGGCCCCCTGGAACTCTTACAGGACAGTCCTGCCCAGCGGGCTCCCGACCAAGAGCCCAGCACTAGCCAGTGAATGTCTGGGATTGTTATTCCCTCAGCCGCCTGTTAGGTGAGGGCCAGTGCACCATCCTCCTCACCAGTTTGGACACATTTTAATTTATCAGCGGCACCTAAAGACATTTTTCTCCAGGAAGTAATTAGAAAAGAGCCTGTGAACATCCATTAACTTGGGTCATATTTTCACTTCTTTCAGCAAAGCAGTTGGTAGTAGATTTAAACTTCAACGTCCTGCAGCTAGAGAATGCAAGACAGAGAAATGGTGTATCCTTAATATGTTCCCATAGCGCGCTTCTCTGGAGACATGGGAGCCCTTTCAGCTGATGACACGGCTTATGGAGCTCAAGGCAAAGCTTCAGGAGCCCCCTACACGACTTTGGTAAAACTGGGCCGTTTTTTGCCAAAAACAGTTATGCAAACAACAAGGTTCTTAAAGTTGTAATGTTCACTTTAGTCTGTAATGTTCACTTCTGCATATTTGCAGTGAAACATACTAGAAAAAATTCTGTTGCAAAAGCAATTAGAGGACAGGGATATAGCTCTGGGGTAGAGCACTGGAGGCCCTGGGTTTAATCCCCAGCACTGCATGAWTGAATAAACAAACAAACACTATAGTGAAGCTGAGCCTCTGAGTAAGGTAAGAATAGGAAATCTGCCAGGGTCAGTCCTGGCTTTTTCCTCACTCACTCCTGTTTTGAAGACTTCCTCTTTGTTCCAGAACCTGCTAAAGGGCTTGTGGGTGCTTCAGGGTCTCAATATATGTAATTCCTATACTAGGAACACTCAGACCACCACATCCATCCCCAGCTTAAGGCACTTCAGAGAATCATCTATAAAATTGAGATCACTGTGCCCTGTGTGGTGATACTGGTACTTGAAATACAAGCTACTAGGGAGGCTGAAGCTGGAGGATGGAAAGCCACTTCCTGAAGGCTAGCCACAGCAATGTAGCGAGACTTTTATCTCAAAATAAAAAGTAAAAAGACCTGGAGATGTAACTCAGTGGCAAAGCAATCCCTAATGGGTTCAATTCCCAATACCACAAAAAATAAATAGATAAACAATAAAATTAAATTGAGACTTCCAGCTCCCCCCAGTCTCTATTCCGGTGTCCTTTATTGCTTTCTTAGTTATTGTGATTTGTAATGATACGTTTGGCGATTTGGGTATTGTCTATTTCCCCAGATACATTGTAAAATATTATTAAAGTACTTATCTCCTGGTTTATCTGCTTATTGTCTGTCTCTGGAATGCAAACTCTGCAAGGACATTATTCACCACCATATCCCCACTACCTTGTCAAAGGTTGACTCCTGCACTGTCACTACCACACCTATTGAAAGCTAAGTTCATTGCTGACCCCTCAACAGTCTGACTGTGCCTCCTTGGAAAAAGTGCAAGGCTGTGGTATTCATTGAGATATTGAAGCCTGGGTTAAGGGATAGGGTCTTTTAATGCTGGGTGGGAGCAGGGATTGGTTAGGAGTGGGAAAGGATCATGCCATAGTATTTTGGGAGGAGCACAACAAAGGGGAGGTTTTGAGGTGAGGAGTTCAATCTTAGGGGCAAATTGATAGTCATTCTATTAAAGGATTGACAGGTCTTTCAGAAACAATGAAGTTAATTTGAAATGTTCAGTTTATCTTCCCGGGCAATGGTCCCTTGATATAATAGTTATGCCAATGAAGATAGTGGAATAGTTATATCAATGTGACTCTCATATCAGCATTAGCTGTGTGGGTAAGTGGCTTCAGTTCTCAAACTACAGCAGCAGCAATCCCTTGGACATAATAGATACTTAATAAACATTTGTTCCTTTTTTGTTCCTTTTTTGGCATTGAGGATTGAACCCAGGGGCCCTTAAACACTGAGCTGTATCCTTTTTAATTTTTATTTTGAGGGTCATATTTATTTAATAATTTTTTTTTAGAGAGAGAGACAGAATTTATTAATATTTATTTTTTAGTTCTCGGCGGACACAACATCTTTGTTTGTATGTGGTGCTGAGGATTGAACCTGGGCTGCACGCATGCCAGGCGAGTGCACTACTGCTTGAGCCACATCCCCAGCCCAGAGGGTCATATTTAAGTTGCTTAAGGCCTCATAAAGTTGTTGAGGCTGGTCTCAAACTTGTGATCTTTCTGCCTCACCTTCCCAAGTCACTGGGATTACAGGCATGTGCCTCTGTGCCCAGCTAAACATTTGTTTGTTGGTTGAACTGAAAATTCCAGAGGATGAGTGAAGCCAGATTTAAAGTTAGGTAGTCAGTGTAGTTAGGTAAATCGGGTCTAATATCAGTGAAATCTAAAATGGAGGCCATGCTGATAATGATTCCCGGAAACGCAGGACAACTCATGGAATGGGAAGGCCCTAGGCCAAAGTCCACCCCAAAGGAATGTTAATGGAACCCAGGAAACAGCCCCCAACAGATTGGGAGATAGCCCATCCCAAAGAAGTGTTAATGAAGTCCTTCCTGCCCAGATTACTTGTTTGGCCCACCTGTGTCCCAACCCTTCCCCCTTACATTCCATCACCAAAACTATAAAAAGGGGAGACAACCGCACTTCCACGGATTCCACCTCTTGGGTCCTTTAATAAACTTCTAATTTCTACTCTGACCTTGCCTCCGCATGCTTCTTTGGTAACATGAGGACCATGTATGTCTTCACTGTTTATACTCAATGTCTAATTCAGTGTCATTTTCAGGATCTATATATATTGAAATTGATTTAAATTTCCTTTTATTTAAACTTGTGACTTTCTTCCATTGATGCAAGTTCTCTCTGGCATTATTCTGGGCCTAGAGGCTACAGTTAGGATTATATAGGTGAATTATATAGGTGCATAGAAATGAAATGAAGAAAAAGATGATGGAACTTGGGTACCATGGTATGCACCTGTAATCACAGCAACTTGGAAGGCTGAGGAAGGAGGATTAAAAATTTGAGGCCAGGGGCTGGGGTTGTGGCTTGGTGGTAGAGCGCTTGCCTAGCATGTGTGAGGCACTGGGTTCAATCCTCAGCACCACATAAAAATAAGACCCTATCTCAAAAAGTAAAAAGGGCTAGATCTGTGGTAAAAGCATCCCGAGTTTGATTCCCACTACAAAAAAAAAAAAAGGATGGAAAGAAAGAAGGAAGGAAAAGGAAAGAGATGATGGAATATAAAGGGATTTCCCCTTTTTTTTGTTTGTTTGTTTTTTGAAATAGGGTCTCACTATATTGCCCAGGCTGGCCTCAAATTCCTAGGCTTAAGGTGTAAGAGGGGTCCGGCGGAGCGTCGGAGGGAGAGACCATACAAGAGACTTACTCCATGCAATTGGCAAAAGGGGATTTATTGGGGATCCATTCCAGCGCGCTGGGACTCTGTGCTCACTCAAGAAGGGAGAGCAGCCCAGAGCCCAGAGCAAAGGTCAAGCAGAGCTTAAGTACACTTTTTGGGGAGGGCGGGAGTCTTTGCATACATCAGAACAAATCATCATGAGGCGCGGGGAAATTGAACAACAACTCTGAGATGTGATTGGCACAATCATTGGCGGGCTAGGGTGATTGGTCATTTGTAAGCGGGTTACACATTCAAACTGGTTCGGGCCCTGTGAGGAAATGCACAGGGCCCTAGGCTAAACGGCCAGTAGGGTGTTGTTTTAACTATCTCAGGAATCTGGGTGTAACAGAGGAACTTAATACCTAATCTTTTACATTCAAGCTTTCCAGCTTAGAAACTTTACCCTTTCAAAGGGATCTTCCTGCCTCAGCTAGGGATTGAACCCAGGCCCTTGTGTACGCTAGTAAGCACTCTATCCCTGAGTTTTAACCCTTGGAAGTTGTGAAGCCAGATTTAAAATTAGGTAGTCAGTGTAGTTAGGTAAATCGGGTCTAATACCGAGTGAAATCTAAAATGGAGGCCATGCTCAGAATGATTCCAGGAAACGAAGGACAACTCATGGAATGTTAATGAAGTCCGAAAAGGCCCTAGGCCAAAGTCCATCCCAAAGAAGTGATAATGAAGTCCTTCCTGACCAGATTACTTCTTTGGTCCACCAGTGTCCCACCCCCTCGGGCCTTCCAACCTACATTCCATCACCAAAACTATAAAAAGGGGAAACAACCGCACTTCCATGGATTCCACCTCTTGGGTCCCCTTCTTCCTCCTGGAGAAGTCTTTTCTGCTGTCCTTTAATAAACTTCTAATTTCTACTCTGACCTTTCCTCAGCGTGCTTCTTTGGTGTTATTCTTCAACATTGGGGAAGCAAGAACTTGTCACCGGTCAACAGCCGTAACAGTTGGACTTCTGAGGTTATTATTTTATTTTTTTTAAGAGAGAGAATTTTTTTAATATTTATTTTTTAGTTTTTGGCAGACACAACATCTTTGTTTGTATGTGGTGCTGAGGATTGAACATGGGCCACACACATGCCAGGCGAGCTTGCTACCACTTGAGCCACATCCCCAGCCCCTTCTGAGGTTATTAAAAGCAAATATTGGAAGAATTCAAGAAAAGAAGTGTGAGATCCAAGTTGGTCCCAGTCTCAAGAAAGACTGGCTCAAGCTTCCACCATGCCTGAGACTGAGGAAAGTCTTTTATTTCACCCA